AGTGAGCATAAAATTACACTTCCTTCATCCCCATCTTGAACCCTTCCCTGAAAATCTTGGTGATTACAGTGAGGAACAAGGAGAACGTTTCCATCAGGATATTAAATAAATGGAGCGACATTGTCAGGGACAATGGGATGAACACATGATGGCAGATTTTTGCTGGTTGTTGAAGAGGGATGTTGCAAGTGAAACCAAAAAAAGAAAGAGGAATCTACTTCGTCGGACGTTTGACGATAAAAGAACAAGAAAAAGACAAACAAACTAATATCATGGATTTTTTTACAGAAATGAGCACGGCCACTCAGAAGACAGAAATATATCAGCTTTCCCGTACGAAAAAGGCCTGCATAAAACGATTTTTGCACAATTTTCTAAATTTTTTTCTAGGCTTGGGAAATTCTGAAGTACTGTTAAGCATTTTTCACGCCATATATGAATTCAGGAACTCAAAATACGAAAATATATAAGCTTTCTTGTGCAAAAATACCTTCCAGAAATCGCAAGTTTTGCTCAGCTTAACACTTTTTTCCCTAGGCTAGTGGAATTCTGAGGTACTTAAAATTGTACAGTGAGATTCAAACTACGCGACTCGAGATACGTAAAACATTATCGTTTTATTAATTATTGCGTAGATCAAAATTGCTTTCACAGATACTGAAGTTACTAAGATTTCACGCATTTCCCATATGATAGGGGGAAACTGGTGGGTCCAGCGGAAATTCTGAGACCGCTTTCGGATTCAGCGGCTTAAAATCCATAGGCGTAGTAAAATCACATGTAGAGTTCGTTTCACTTTTTTTGTGGTATAGGACGAGGAGGTCAATTTCGTGGCCTCTTTCTTCCCCAGATTTAAATATACTCGACTTTTGAGCGTGGGGATATTTTCCGCGGGTTCTAAATGCTTGTGAAGACATAAGAAATAAAGTTTGATTTTTGGAAAATATAAGAAGATAGATCTATAAAAACGCGTAAGGAGATGTGTATAGGAGAACTCATTTTGAGCATTTACTAAAGTAAGAAATGTACAAAAATGGAAAACATTGCGTTATTTTTGTAGTTTATTTACTGTGTTTAATGACTACAATTTAATAATTTTTGTGACGAGACATTTTTAATAGGGTTTTTCTCGAAAACGGTTGGCTACATGACTTTGTAACAAGAGCAGCTTTTTTACGTAAAATTATCTGGAGAATCATATTCCAAGATCAAGAATTCAACAAAACTCCTGTTAGCCCCTGTTTCGGAAGCATATGGTCATCATTTATCCGATTTCACACCACCAGATGATTTCTTGCCCAAAAATTCTTCCGAAATTAGGTATCAATATTTTAACACAAACCGTTCTTTAAATAATTAATAAAAACCTGATTTTGCGAAACAGTTTCATATGCTCCCCCAGGACAGCAACTTTTTCTTTTATTTTTACGTGTATGAAATATATTAACGATATTTCCGGACACCCTGTATGTCTATGACGGCTGCAAAGACTGTAATCTTATTAGCAACCGGTAGGAGGTAGTTTAGATTAGGCATAGTGTTTTTCACTTCGTCAGAATTCTAAAGTAAGAATACAAAAGTCGTTCGCTATAATTAGCTAAATATAGTCATACGCGTGCGTTTTCTTTTTTAAACCAGAATAGCCTAGACTCTCTAGGGGTTAATTTATAAATAAAAACTGGTATATAATTTGTGTCCTATTTGCAACCTAATTGGGAAATTGAAAATGTTATGCAATTTATAGATTAAATTAAATTACTTTAAAACAGTTAATAAAGATGTAATTTTTGTCCCATTCTCATTCAAAATTAAGACATTGTATGTACAAAAAATAAACAAAGTAAGCTATGGTTACACTAGTTAAACAATAAAAATATTGTTTTACTAGTGAAGCAATAAAAAAGAAGAAGACAATAATTGTATACATAAAATTGGAAATTATTAAATGTCTTAAAATTTAAGTGTTTCTATCAAAAAGTGTTTTGTTTGACAGCATGTTCCTAATGGTATGGCAAAATCACAGATTTATTATGTAAATATTCTATCAAATTAACCAGGTTCAAGAGTTGATAATAAGCAAAATACAGGGTGTTAAAATTAAAAGATCGAAGTATTTGCATAAAATTTGGGATTTAAGGGTTTTTTACACTTTTATTGTGTTTTGATATTTCATTATTAAGTAGATATTACAGATCAGGTTTCAGATTTTTAACCGCAATTTATTATTTTTTTCATTGTTTTAAAAGTCTTAAATCTATCCTCCGTGACTGTTACTCTTTCGAGGTTAACCTATATGTTTTCAAATATCTGAGGTAGTAAAAGCATACTAAAAATATCAGTTCACTAAGAAAATTAAACACATCCAAAGCAATCGAATCAAATATAAAATATTATAAAAATTAAAAGAAATAATTTTTATAACCATTTATGTAGGTATTACAAAAATTGATTCTATTCTCCGCAAATCTGTTTTTGCTTTAAATTTTATGCAACGGATGGCGCTTTATTCATTTTAAATAAGCAAAAACCTCTGTTTACGACATTATAGATGCATGTGATTCCTGAGCGTCAGTTAGAATTTATATGCAGATGGAGTGTTTTATAATTCAAAAGTTTAAGTTCATTAATTTGCTATTTAAAAACCTATCCACCGTGAAGTGTAATATCTCAGTAAGTACATTTTTTTTATAAATATTTTATGTATGTACAATGTATTTTTAAAAATATTAAGGTGTCAAAAGATACAATAACTTATTTCAAATATACAAAGGGATGTTTAAAAAAACATACAAAATCCTAACCTCCGTGAAGCTATCTTCCGTGAAGCTCTAATATTCAAAATGTATGATTTCTTAAAATTCTTGCATTAGTGCAGAACCACTGTCATGTTATGTTATTACTAGACCTGGTGGCTTCCCAAAAAACCCATTCTAGACTTACAGTGAAACAGCCAAAAATAAAAAATAATCATTTTCACTTTGGGGATCTTAATATATTCACCCACTAGTAACTAAATTTGTAGCGTCTCTTATTTTTTTTTTAATTGTAACTCAGATAAAAAAATGTTACATTACCAAATAACAATAAAAGGGGTGCACTGAACAATTTAAACGCACTTACATTTCTCGAAAACAGCAACAGTACAAAGTGTACGTTTTTTGGGTAATAAAAATTATAAAATATTTGAAAGATTTGAAACATGAAAGGCGCAAAAAAGATGTGACCATTTAAACGTATAAAAGGTATCGCAGACAGTGCCCTTTACAATCTAAATCTTTTTTTTAATACATTTAAATTGTTTGGCCTTAAAACCCCCAAATACTACATTTGAAGCGAAAACGTTGTTTTTTCCAAAGAAATTTAATGCAATCGAAATTATATAACTAAAACAAATACATTTTTAACTTTGACACCTTGTATCTTATTACAAGGAAAAAAATTAAGATGATGGGGTTCTAAAAGTATTTTCGGTTTCTACAATCAAAATCATGAATTATAGCGTTCACAGAATGTTTAGAATAATTCTGTTTTTTTTTTTTAATATCAATTTAAAGTTTTAGTAATTCTGGATCCCGAAATATCGTAAAATATTAAATAATTAGTACATAAAACATAATTATTGTTTTTTTATATTGTTTTATAAAGTAATAAAAATCAAATAAAGAAAAAAATAATTAAACAAAAAAATAATGAGAACAATAAAATGCAATTTTTTTTTAAAGTTGAACCTTTTTCTGGATTTAATATGTTGTATTGCAATTTCTTAGTTCTTTCGCTTCTACCATAAAAATAATTATGGTAATAATTATTATTATTATATTAATTATTAAAAACATATTCTTTTTAACAAATAGAATGAATCAACATTAAAGATATAACAAATTTTATTTATAATTTTATGCCAAAATTTCCATTGCCATAGACCAACATAAATCTGTCAACGTCGAATCAAACCTCTTTCCTCTTTAACGATTTTCCATTTCCATTATTGTTTGATGCTCTTCTGATTCGGTGGACAGCTGATTTTCGAACATATCAAGATGTGCATGGAGCAAATGTACTTTTGGTGACATTTTTACACCCATTTTTATTTTTTGTTTTATTTTTTATTATTATTTTTTTAATTTATTGTTATGACAACAATTTCCTACCAGTTAATTGGTTTAAATTAATAAATGACGGTTTTTCGGGTTCCAAAATTAATAAAACTTAAAATCGATATTAATAAAAAACCTGAATCAATCTAAACGTTCTGTAAACGCAAAAAGGCCCCCACCTTTTTTTTCTGTTGCACTGTGTTATCAACTGTTTAGCCAGGTTAATTTGGTTAAATAGTAAAATTTTTGCTGTGTACCATTATTTATGGGACACCCTGTATAGAAATCGTCAAAATAAAAACGTAGCTATTGAAAGAATTGTCAAAATAAAAACATCGTCAGAAAAAACAATTTCTAGTAAATCCCCTAAAAAGTGGTGGTTATCCCCCAAATAAACAGCTAAGATTTGGGGATGAAGTTTTTTCTCTCAGGGGCACTAATGAGTTGTTTAGGTCTTTATAGTTACCTGTGAATTTTTCCCAAAGATATATTTTATCCTTATTTATTTATTTTAATTTGTTGAGAACCATTTTTTTAATTAACTGCCTAAAAGTACCTCTAAAAATTATTTTAACTAATATTCAACCTTGTCTTACTTAACTTAGTCAATTTTCCCTAACTAATTTAAAACAATAATTAGCGAATAGCTAATGGCCATACAATATTCGATCTGTTTCTAAATAAAAACAAATCAATAACCGCTTACTTCATGCATAAAAAACAATCCGGATACCCGGATAATAATATCATGAAAGATATACCACATTACGTATAGTAACAGGTAAACTAACTATGTACATAGAGGGGGACCAGGCAACATCAAGTACGTCAATGGAATCGTGTATTTGAAGTAGGGACCGGCGAAATTACTTACTAATCAGTTCGAGTCGCCGCAAGAGCCGCGCGAACGTTTTTAATTTTCTTGTATACACAAAGGTTCGCTTTTTAAACTACTTTTTTGAACACTTATTTCTACGTTTTTATTCATTGATTTCTACAATAATTTTAACAACATGCGTTCATCAGAAGTTTCATTGACACCAAAAATGGATAACGAAGGCAGAAGAGCGTCATTAAGGTGAGTTTTTTTTAAATATTTAAATTACTTCTAAACATGTGTAAAAGAGTTAGGTTTAAGTTCATCAAATTTTAAATAAAGTTAAGATAATGTGAAATTACATTTTAATAATGCCAAACGATAATATTTAAGTAAAGTTTATAAATAAATAATATTTTAATAGGGTTTAAAATCTTTTTTTAATTTCCTATTACATTATGTAAATCTATAAATTATTTAATGCTAAAATATACAGGGTTTTTCCTATGTACTAATCGTATCTTCAAAATTAGGCTAAATGTATTTGAATATGGCCGATATTTTTCTTTGTTATAAAATAATTCTTATCAATTTAATGTTAAACTTTGCATCTTTTGTTTTTAATTCAAAATAACTTTTCAAAAAATAACCTGCTGAAATTTAATTATTAGGTAAGTTTAAGTTTAAACAAAATATTAAAAAAATATTAAATTTATAAATATACATATATGTAAATATTTATTAGTGGTTAGTTTGTAAAAAATTATTATATTATTAATTTAATTTTATTAATTATTTATTATTTCTATAATTAAAAATAAAAATAGACAAAATTGTTTTGAATAATTCATTTTAATAATAAATTAATATAAATTTTTTTTACCAAAATGCATGAAAAAACATTAAAATAAAATTAATCCAATAGTAACATGGAAACAAATAAAAAATGCAATAGAACCAAATAAACAATGAAACAAAAAATAGAGAATTCCAAAAATTCTCTAAAATTAGATTTTCGTCAATCCAGCATGGATTTTCTTTAAATCGCTAATATGAATTCTTAAAAATTTACTCTCATATAGGTAGGTATATTGCAAAAATACACTTTATCAAGACCAACACTTTAAACCAAATCCGGTTAAAATCGCACCATAAATAAACATTTTACAGAGGTGAGTCGCAAAAAAATTGGTCACACTGTATATGAATATAATAAGCCTTTTTAAATTGCCTTAATAATAGTTAATTTACTTTTAAAAATTATTTAAGTCACTTTTAAGTTAAAAAGTTTTAACTGTAAATTATTAATTAAGTCTGATATAAAATTATTATTTATTTTATATAAACTTTTATAAATAAAACAATTCTCTTGAAATCAAAAGTTATTTTTTTATTGGTTTTGTTATTTTTAATTTCATTTCAAGAGAATTGTTTTTATTTTTAAGTGTTACAAGGGGATATTTCGAAAAAAAATTGTGAAATTTTAGTAAACTAACAGAGAGTTGGGGGACATACGAGTATTTATACATTATTTTGACACCTATAACTATACGCCTTTTTCCATTACTTGAATCTACGATTTTTGATTTTTGATGTACGCTTTTGGTTACAGATACATAAAAATAATTTTAATTTATTTACGAAGTGTACCAAAAAGAGTGTTTGGAAGTTAAAGGGGGGCATTTTGAAGAATTTTTCAAACATGCCAGACGATAAATTAGTTGAAATTAAATTTTTAAAATTTTTTAGTAGCTATAAATTTAAAAACTATCATTTCATTCAACTTTTCTACCTAAAATTTACCATTTTTTTAAATTGTTTAGGTAAATTTATCTTGTAAATAATTAAATAAATTCGATCGTAAAAAATAGCCTAAAATTGAGCAAGGCCGAATGGCCTACAACATTTTGTTTTTAAGGCAGAATTTTATTTGTTTAACAATACATAAAACGTACTTTTTGATTGGTCTTCATGGGATTTTTACAGACTAGGGTGTAAAACACTTGACCTGATTGGTCTCAATTATTTTTACAAGATAATCAAATACTTTGGTAGTGAGCGTTGACAATAATAAAGCTTAAATTATAGAACGCTTGAAGATAAAAGCTTTTTTACTTTAAAGATAAAAACAAAATTTAAAAATCTTACTTGTCCTCTTAAAATGTGCTCTCTAAAAATGAATTAGTCAAAAATGACTAATTTAATAGTTATTGGTGGCTGCTTTTTCACTTGTACCATGGTTAACCATGAAATACCAAGGTATCCCAAAATTTAACAGCCAATTCGTATGTAAAATTGTCCCCTGAATCTGAAAATATCAAAAGTTACAAAAGTAGAACAGTTTTTGAGATATATTTTACATTTAATATGGAACTGACTATATCTCAAAAACTGCCCCACTTTCATAATTTTTGACCGTATTTTCGGATTCAAGTTTACACAGAATTGGCTGTTAAATTTTGGGCTTCCATGGTATTTAATGGTTAACCATGGTACAAGTGAAAAACCACCAATAACTATTAAATTAGTCATTTTTGACTAATTCATTTTTAGAGAGTGTTTAAAAAAGTCTCTACATAATATGTTATAATATTATATAAAAATAAAAAGTAGAAATATAAACTAAAAAAATTGGCGGTTATATTAATATACAGAGTTGTCGAATAATTTATCAGGTAATAAAACAGTGCGATAATTGACCCCTGTGTAAGCTAGAGCACCTGTATTATACAGGCTGTATATTATCATATATTATATACATGTTTTTTTTTTAAACGATTGTTGATACTGAATGGGCTTAATAAATGAATAATTTTAAGGAAAAATTTTTGTATAAAGTGAGGTCCGCAATCGCTTTATTTAAAATAAAGGGTGTTTAAAATTGAAAAAAAAAATCTGCTCGGTCATTGACGAACTTTTAATGTTACTAGACAACTGTGCGTCCAATCGGGTTAAGACAGGACCATATTTTTTACATAAAAAAACTATATTATTTAATACTGATAAAAAATTTAGATTTATTTTATTAAAAATAAGTTTGACATACTTTTATTTAGAAAAACATATTTTCAGGGACGGAGTTTTAAGGGGTTCTGAGGGTCGTTTTTTGCACTATGCTTATATATACATACATATATGCCACCTGGTAAATGTTTTGACATTTCCCTAACAAAATATGTTGAAATTTCGTAAAAAGTTATTTGTGAATAAGCAAATTAATACTGTTCACAATCTTTTAATTTAATAAAAAACTAATAAAAAATAATTAAAAAGTTGACTAATTTAAATTAAATTTATATTCTAAAATTATAACCATAATATGTATATTAATATATTATATAAAGGATTGTACAAAAATGTTTAAAAGTAAGAAAAATGATGCAAACTTTTGCAAATTTTTTTTTTTTTTTTGGGACACTCTCTATGTTATTTGACATAATTAAAATACTTCAAATTATAAAAGTATAAATATTAAAAAAAACAATAGCTTATATTATTTTTCTACTTCCACCTTAAAACGCCCATTATCGTACATGTTTCCATGACACTAAGTGACCTATTAAATACACATTGAAGTTTTTAGTCACGGGCTAAAGTTAGTATTAATTTAGTGCCTTTCTTGTAAAATAATACTAAATGTGAAAACTATTGTTTTATCTCAATACAAAAATAAAAAAAGTATTAAATAGTGTCTCAACGCAAATATTTGAAAAGTTTATATGAACATTCTACTGACCTTTTAATTTCGCCGGCAGTAAACTATAATTTAAATTCGAGCTCGGACTCCACTGTGAAGTGCTCATAAAACATTTTCTTTACTTTCACTGTGAAAAAATTATGTTAATCCATTTTCAAGGAATACATTTCGATTTGTAACCTTTATAATCTGTGTTTAAAACACATAAAAATTTGACATTTGACAGTAATACAAATTCCCCTATTGTTTTATAGATGGCGCTCAGACACTCATTAATTTAAACTAAATTACTTACTTAAATTAAATTCGTGTCAAAAATGGCGTTTTTTAAACTTGATACATAGTATACTATTATAAACGAGCCAGTTCATTCGTATAAAATTCGTTTGTTTAAAATAGCTTAGTTTGGAGTAGAAGCATTTCAAGCTGTTTTCGAATAATGACTTAAATATGTAATTTGCTTGTGATTTTTTTAACAGACAACTTTAATGTTTGCCAATAGGCCATTACATTAAAACAGTTACTTTTTTATTGTCGTTATGTTACAATGTAACAATAAAATAATTATCCGGTCTTACGAAGCAAAAAGTTTTTAATTAGGTGGTAATTATATTTTATGATAATTAAAATTTAGATTTTTAATATATGTACAATGTACATTGTACATGGTGGGGCACATGAACCGTCTGGTTTTGAAATATTCATAAAAAATAATTGCTAGAATAATATGCGTTTTCCATAAATTATGTGAGAAAAAATTAAATTTGGCATATGACGCTCATTAACATCAACACCAGGAACTCTCTATTGATGCAATAGATTTGTCCTTTAATTCATCTAACGTAGGGTGCTTATTTTCGTAAACAGGTACATTTAAGAATTTAAATAGAAAAAATTACACGAGGACAAATCAGGAGACCGAGGGGACCTACGACAAAACTTGCGCTGACCCGAAGTCACTGACTCATTAATTCAAGCAAAACGGTCATACGCATATACAGGGTGTTCAAAAGTTCACAGCTCCATGTTGGCGACTGTATTTCTTGATTATTATGCAGCCACAAAAAAAATAAATTAACGTTATCAGTAATTAATCCTGTTCACAATATAAAAAACTAATAACAAATATCATTAAAATTGTTATTATTTTGAACAAACGATCGTAAATCAAAAAATCCCCATTAAAGTTATAGGTATTGGTTAGGTAGAACAAACATTTCATAAAACAATTGTTTTCTCCTATTTTAAACGAACTTATAGAACTTATAGAACAATTAGTTACAGTAACACTGACGTATGTAAATGCAAAATGAAATCATCCTGGTAGGAATTTAATAAATAATCCATTGTTCGTGAGTGCACAGAGAGAGATATTTTTGAATCCGCAAACTGAACCTTTGAGCAGTGAATTATCGTCAATGACGCGCGCTATCTTTAAAACTGAAATAGGTGCACAAATCAAAAGTGTGCGGTATCCAGGGAACATAGATTAATAAATAAAGAGCGGATTAATATACAACAATATTCTTAAACATGTCAATTAGGGTGATTTTTTTTTCACGAC